GGGAACTTTAATTACTGAATTCGGACTGATAATAAGCCTACTTTGGAATCTATTGTAGTACATTTAGTAAGTGCATAATTTTAGAAATTTACAGCATACATTTTGAACAAATTTTGGTATTATTATGATAAGGTTGATGAAATAAATTTCAATACAGGATTTATGTTGAGTTGAGATACATTAAACATAATTTATTTATATCATATCATAGATACAGCCATTTTGAAAAGAAATTTATAAACTAAATTTAGTAACAACACATTTCACATGTATATATTTTTATTATAATATATATATAATTTTTTTTTTGGTAATATATTATTTCCTTATTTACACTGCGCGATGACATTCCCATGGACAAATTCGTCCATAATAAATTCTAAAAATATATTCAATAAAACAGAAAACATACAATATGCTAGATTTCCATCATCGTCAGAATAATAATAATATATTTCCTCTCCGTCATCAATGTAATTTTTTTTCTCTCTTTTCATCATTTTTTTTTTGGTTTCTCATCATCTAAAATTGTTGTTCTGCTTCATCTTCATTCGACCTCACAATGAAGTTTCACCGTTAAAGCAATTTATTGTCATTTCTACGAGCTTACCAGTATAAATAGTATTTTTCTTTTAAATCTTATCATCTTTCATTTATATTTAGTTAATTAAACCTTAGAATTTATTTGTTAAAACTTTAGCGAATCCAGTGGTATCCGTGAAATCGTTCTGCGAGGGAACAGGAAAAAAAGGAAACACTAAATTTCGAATAAATAAAAATATTTACGCTAAACTAGCTTTTTCTTTTAACTTCTGTTGGTTAATAAACTAAGAAATGAAAATACTCATTTGAACGCTCGAATGACAATTACTTTTGCTCCCTTAATATTTAATAATAGACATTAGCAATTTACTCATGTTTTAGTATTTTTTTAATTTAATATTCTTTATAATAAGGAAGACATATTTGGCTCCGTTTAGCCGCATTTTTTTTTTATATAACTTACACTGCTCTAAGATCAGTTTAGTCGTTTAAAGCTAGAATTATCTACTGTTCATTTTTTTTTCAGTTTTTTCATTTTTTTTTTGATACACCATTCACATCATTATACAAATACAGTTTTATACAAGTTTAGTTCCATTCAGGTGCGATAAATAGTTAAAATCAGTTCACATTATACAATATATTCAGCTTTTCGAATAAATTGAGAGGTTTAAAAGCGTTTGGTATACTATTATTTCTTAATTTACATTAAATTTTTCAATTACACTCAAAATTGCCAACTGCGACTGCGTTTTCATGCAAACTTGATGTTTTTAATATATTTTTTTTATTGCTGACAATGATATGTAGTGCCCTTTTTCGCAGTGCAAATGACAATTTCGAAGTACAAACAAACAAAAAAATAAAAACCACTAAACTTAATGTATTTTTTTTAAATTTAATTTTTCTTTATTTTTTTGGAAAAATGATTGTTTAGTGATTGTTTTTCATTTTTAGTTAAAATTGTAGAAAATATTTCATTTTTTACGTCCGTTTTGTATAATAAAGACTAAAAGTTCATCTTGTTTACTTGTGATTTGTATTTACCAATATGTGATTTGTTCGACAAACAGAAATTAGTTTTTGGCGTTTTATTCTTGTGAGTTGAACATTCCGTGTTTGTGCTCATGATTGAAAAGAAACTGTCTATTTTTTGTTGTTGTTGTTGTTGTTGTTTGTTAAAGATAAATAATTGACAATAGGGCTGAAAGATGCTTAGCCCATTTGTAAATAATACCGAATGGTTTTGAAATGATATTATTTGGATCTGGGATTGACTCGTAGTCGGGAAGGTATATCTTGTCCAGAAGCTACAGAAAGTTAATTTAATTTAACATCGACTTTACCCTGCTAAAACATTTGCCGGTTTTGTTTAATTGTTTTGTACAAAAGCGAGAAAAAACTGTGATCTCATTCTCATCATCATTCCGCATTCCTTCGATAATTCAACTTGCATTTTAGATGCAGCGTCATTTGCGAAGCCTCAACTTCATAATAAACGTTAAAAGCTTTTGAAGTCCATTCAAGTAGAGCCGCACATCCTTGTTGCGTGTAAAATTGTATTCAAGGAGTAGTAGTAGTAAAAGCAGGTGAGAGAGATTTTAATGGCATTTAAAATGTCGGGCCATTCAAAAGGTAAAATTTTATCGCGCAAAGTTCCGCGCGAAAATGCTGTAACAATTAAAATTTTCCAACCGAAAGGGCTGCAGGATGGATGGGCCCTCAGAACAAAAACGTTTTTGTGCTGCTTGGAAGTTACGTACTGTTCGCAATGAAATTACGGCCTTTTTGTTTTTACTCCTCTCTCGTTTTTCTTTTTTTGGGGTTTTCGCATTATGAGCTTCTATTTAAGTAAGAAACAACATTTTGCGCTTCTGCATGCCCCAGATAAATACTGATTGATCGTGTTTTTCCATCGTACATTGATGGACTCTACTCAACAAATTCAAAGACAAATATCATATGCTTTATTCCAATTTGGAAATTATATAATTTATTTTTCTTTTAGGTCATAAACAACCTATTGTCAGGTACGAGATTCATTCTTTCAGCTCATTCTCTTGATTATTAATTATGTTTCTGAAGGACAATTTACTTGAAATTTTTATATCAAATTTGATGTAAAATTATTAACCAACAACTTTATAGTTGTATATCTCGTTCCCTGTGATTATTAGTATTATGTACAAAACAATACAGCAAGAATTGTTCAACAAGTACGACATTACTTTAATTAAATAAAATTATTATAATTTTTTCTCTTCTTTTTTTTTTAATTATAACATGTTTTTTCTGAGTTAAATAATTGAATAATTCAATATGTTTCATGGTTAATAAAAAAATTGACGTCGAAGCTAATTTTTTTTTGGTCATATAATAATATCAGTTACGTATTAAATCTTATAATCCAGTACAAAAATCATTCATTAACAAAATAAAATGATTTTTACTGTTCATATATAACTTTAACACAAAAATTGTATTTCTTTTTATATATTAAAGCAAATTTAATGTGATTTCATTTATTCGTAATGACTTAGCAAAACACTAAATTATTATATAATCAATGAATTTATATACCTAATTATGACATTGAATTAAAAATGATATTTCATCAAACTTGAGTCAATTTTAATGCAGAATTAGAGCCATAATCATAGAAATAATTATGTTTTTTCTTTATTCGTTATGTGAAGTAATAATTAATTAAATTAAATATTTATTGACTTTTTTAAATACAACAAAATCATGACCACTTTAAAAACCGAACAAAACAAACTTCACTCAAAAAAAACAATACGAAAATAATTTTATATACTAATATTTACTAGTTTCTTTGGATATTTTTAAACTAGATTATAATTAATCCGATTCAATTGCAAATAAAAAACTATACGTTTTACAATTAAACAATTTACACAGTTTATACTTAATAATCTTTACGTTTTGGCTTCAAGTACGTACGTTTTTAAATGTTATTCTGTTCGATGATTTTAAGTATTTTAAGCATAAAAGCACACATTGCAAGGATGTATTATATAACACGTTTTATGCTTTATGAGATATTACAGAATTTAGTTGTTGACTGAACGTGACTGATCTTGTAGACGACGAAGGTTTTTAGTTCGTCACGGTATCAAATGTTCTACACATTATATAGCAAATATAACAACGTTTTGGAAAGTTGAAAAACTTGATTGTGTTAAGTTTGTTGTAATTTGCTATTGGATCAACATGACAAGTCAATACAAATTGATGCGGTTATAATTAATGAAAAGTATTTATCAATAATTATTTAAAGTCTTGATTGTAGTTAGTAATAAAATAGAATAAATTTAAGATGTAAACAGTGGCAGATTAAGTACTCAAGGGGCCCTCTTTAACTCTTTGAGGGGCCACAAATTCCTTAATTTTTAGACCCAACAAATTTCTAGACAACTGAATCAAACAGCTACGTCAACTGAATCAACATCGATAGTATCAAGATTTATCCTTTGATATAGCAACCAAATTAAAGGATAATTCCTTTTTCCTGGACATTTCATAGAAAATTATAATAATGCCCCATGCGTCTTAATGAAAAGTATTCATTAATAATTATTTATTGTAGTAAGTAATAAAATAAAATAAATTTTAACTGAAATTAGCTAAGATGTAAACAGTGGTGGATTAGGTACTTGAGGGGCCCCAGGCGAAATTTAATTGTGAGGCCCTCTTTTAACTCTTGTAGACTAGTTTCTAGACAACTGAATCAGACAACTACGTCAACTGAATAGGATGCTATGACCTATCAAGATTCAACCTTTGACATACTAACCAAATTAAATGATAATTCCTCATTGCTGGATATTTCCTAGATATTACCAATTCAAATATTTTTTTAGTTGAAAAATGACGACGGAAGTATTGATTTTTGAAGAGCCGCATTAAGGTTGTTGTGGGCCCATTTTAAGATTTGAGGTCCCCCTAAGGGACCCCCTACGTCTGTGGTAAAATCCGCCACTGGGTGTTAATCATTTAAGACTAACATTGTTGTTTCGATGAATAAAAATCTAGTAACCTGAGATTGAAGATTGAGTAATGTTTGTATTTGCTAGCAATATTTGTCTTTGAATTTCGAGCAACCCCCAAGCAATCATCAACATTAATCCGTGCTAAATTTAAACTATAGATCCTATACACAATCTGGTCAAATATTAATCCTTAACATTACATCATCTGAGTGTCGTTAAACATACACACAATATTAATTTACAAATACACTTTTTATATTTTTATATATATATTTTTTTTTTGTTAATATTCATTAGATTTTTTTTATATCTTGTTCTCCCGAAATATTTTCCTAATATATTTTATACGCAACATATATAACAAATATAAAACATTTATCCATATCTTATATCCACATTAATCTTAAAATTGTAAAATATATGTATGTATATATATTTTTAAATATATATAATAAAATATTTCCCAATGGTAAACCAAACCGGAAGCGGCTTAATATCCCTCTCTAAATGTAGTACGAAAACCGAAGAAGCCGACTCACGAAAGTAGAGACGGATTTAAGATTAAAAATTAAGTTAAATTCATCGTCGATATTTAAAATAGAAACACGATGAGTGCGGCAATGAAGAATGGGTAGATCGATTCCAGGATGTCGGTGTCCTTCAGCGTTGCTGCGTTGTTGTTACTGTTGTTGCTGCTGCTACTGCTGCTGCTGTCTACGATTTCGTTGGTGTTGGAGATTATCTCCGCCGGAACTTCAGTCATTAGGACCTCAACTGCAAGAAACATTTCGATGTTAGAAATTACGCAACAATTTCCACTCGCGAATTCCGCCGCGTCTCTCATCCACTCAGCTATTTACTTCCTTGGTGCATCCGCATCATTGCGTTGCATCAACGTGAATTAATGAATCGTGCTTCAATTATATTGTTTCAATTGCAATAATCTGAGCGTGTTTTCCGTCTGTGCTTGAAGAGAGGCTGAAAATGAAATGTAACAGGTTGGAAGGAAGGTAGATGGAATTAAATTAAAATGTAATTACCTTCCGTTTCGCTCGTCCGCTTGTTTTTATTTTCCGCCTGTCTATGTTTTGTTTTTTCTTCTTACTTTTGTTTTGCAGCCGTGCCCTTTTTGAAGGCCTAAAAACTCGCTCGATACAAAACTCGCGCTAAATGCTTATTTATATTCATGCAGGAATATAAGAGTGACACGCATATAATGATTTTGCAATTTTTTGATATACCATTATTATCTTCCCATATCCAACATTATCTTTCATTTTTTTATGTAAGATATTTGATTGGATTACACCATTTTTGTTAAATTTCGAATACTTGACTAACTACATTTATTCTGTCAAATGTTTCTTTGATATTCATAAAATGGTAACGACTAATCACATAACTTAAGAAATTAATTAAAAAATATCTCGCATAGTGCGGATAATCGATTCCCCCTATATTTGAAACCGGACTAATCAAGGAATTAAATAGAAAATAAACCTTACAAGTAAAGACTGTATAAAAAATACTACCCTTTAATTTTTTTATGTAATCTATAACATAATTTATATAAGATATTTGATTGGATTACACAAATTTTTTAAAATTTCAAATACTTGCCCAATTACATTTATTCTGTCAAATGTTTCTTTAATATTAATAAAATGGTAACGAGTAATCAGTTTTCCATGTAACTTAAGAAATTAATTCATCAATACTTAGTGCGGATAATCTATTTCGCCAATATTTGAAACCGGACTATTCGATGAATTAAGTACAAAAATAAACCACGCAAATAGAAATTTGATAAAGAATAACTGTGTTTTTATTTTTTAATCGTTTTAGAATTTATTTTTATTTTGCTTGTATTTAGTTTGTTTTTAAATATTTAAACTGGATTGTAGTAAATCCGGACTGATTGAAACGGATGTACATATTTAATATGATAGTACCTATACAAGTTACTTGAAAAGTAACAAGTAAACAGTTGTTAAGTTTGTTATAAGTTAAATCTCCTATTTATATGAAATTTATTACATACAATTTATTATTTGAGAATCAAAATATAATTCATGCACGTTTAAAAAAAATCCTGAAGGAAATTTAAATATATTACATTATTTTTATAGTCATGTGGACCAAACAACAAACCGTAATACAATTGATTAAATTTTCTATACAACTAATAATTTACAATTTATAATTTTCATATATAGGATTAAAAAGAAACTAGAGAAAACTGTGAAAAAATATTGTATTTTACATTATTTTTCAGTCACATGGAAGCAACAAAACCATAATGCATTGATGAATAATTTTGTGCATCTATTGAATAAATCCATAAATTAATATTGTTGTTGTATTACACATATCGCTTTATAACACTCGTTACTATACGAGATTGAAATTATTCGTGAATATTTTCATAGTTGAAATATAGCCTTTATGCAATGAATATTCATATTATTATTAATAATATTATACTATATGATTTAATATATATTTTTTAAATATACAAAATTTTATATTGAAATTGAATTATTTTATATAAATGTGCAATAATTTGGAAGTACTTATTTTTTTTATGTCGTATAATTTTATTCACAATCTCTTCATCCATCCATCTTTCCCATTATGATGATTTGATTTTAATTTGTTGGTTAACTTCAGTAGTATATTGATACTCTGCGATTCCACCATCTGTGATGAACGATGGCCCTATTGCTGCAAGCACCGAGAGGTCTCACAAAGGGCCTGACTTGACCAGGATTCGAACTGACGCCCACGAAATCATGGGGAAGGGCGACTTAACCATTCGGATAGTAGTCGCCTTCGAAGTACTTATAAAACATTATTTGTGATAAAAATCGAAATATAAATTAAGATAATAAAATAATATGTGTAAAAGTTTTAATATTATGTAAAGCAGCGTTTCTCAACCTATGACTTATGAAATGACAGTTGTCATTTTGTGTCAAAGCTGTCATTTTATTCGTATGATATAATTATTGGGTCGTAGTACTACTACAAACAGAAATGTTGGGTGGCAAAGCTCATGTTTAGAAACGTTGATGTAATGGATGAGTTTGAGTACAAACGTGATGGTACGTCAATATACCTCATTACATAATTATTTTAGTAATTTCACTAATGCACGGGGATAGGGTTTATTATTGTGCATTACAATAATATATTATTGCAGGCTGATTTACGTTGATTTACGTAATGTTATGCATTCCTCGAGTAAATCGGGATCTGAGAGTATACATACATGTAGATGAACTCAATTATTGTACTTTATGTATATTCATATTAATAAAATGATAAATGCTGTAATTTAAAGCATAATATTTTCTAATGTTAATGCAATATTATTCATTATTATGTATAAAAATATGGAAAGTTACTTAAAAAATGCAAATTGAGCTAAACATTTGCACTTTGCCCAATATAATACGTTTAAAACATAACATACTTTTAGTTAACTAGAAAATTTAAATGGACAAATTTAATTTTATCATTAAGCATGATTTTTGTCCTCCACATTTCTAAATATATGTGAAAAGTTATCAATATATTAAAACGGATATGAAATCAAATACTACACATTAAATAAGGAAGAATACCTGATTTTTATGTTATAATAATGTATTTTTTGACTAATTAATAAAAAGTAATTAATAGTATGTATTAATCGTTAAATAAAAATATATTTTCTCAATTGTTTGTTTTCTGTAGTGTTATTGTACTTAATTTATTATTATATTATTAATTGTAAATAATATGTGAGATGTTATAATCATATAAAATTTATATTATATGTTTATTTAAACTGATTATAGTCCAATGTCAATATATATTCATATGATGTGAATTAACGTATAACAAACCAGTGCGTTCGTTAATATTGGAATGTAATTAATTGCATATGAAACGCTCCATATTATAAATATTATACTCAGTTTAATTGAATTTAGCGCGGAATTCACGCAATTTATTAGAAACAATTGATTCGAATTGCAATAATAAATTAGGCTCACAGTGCACACCTGTGCGGTTTTGGACAACGAAAGGGGATTGTACAATTTGATGTATTGCAGTCAAGGTGGAATAATATCGTGCGGAGATAGTTTTTTCTGGTATTAATCCAGTTAAAAGCGGCATACGGCGACGATTATTCGAATGATTAAATTAAGCCAGGACAGAAGCGGACGGGGTTGGCGTTTTCCCTTAAGGGTTAAAACGCATTCGCGGAGGTCCTTTAGTAAATTGCAGGACAGGCGAAATGAATTTACTTAACATAATTGTGTAAACTATTTGAACCGTTCGCGCGCTGCGAGAGGAGACGGAAGTGCTTCCGGATTAACGGAGGTGGAGGATGAGGCGGATAAAGTATAGTCGGATTGTGTAGAAGCAAATTGGCCACAGTGTACTCACTTTGTCTGGAATGCTTGCGGACGTCGGCGTAGTTCTCGTTATAACCGACGTAACCGGGAATTGTGGACATGCAAGTGATCCATAGCTCTCCATTGTCTCCAACGTGAAGCTCGGACACCTCGACGGCGAGCTGCTTCATGGATGATGCCTTCTGCTCAAAGTAGCCGTGACCGTGGACTCTTCCATTAGAAAAGGATCTAGTTAAAGAATCATCGACCTATAACAGATATTAATAAACCATTTTTGTATCACAATAATTTTCTTTAAAGATACGTACACACTACACTTAATAAGTGTCATAAATGAGAGCCAGGTGAGCCATATGTGTTGGTACACAACTGTTGATTTTTATGAAGTCCAATCATATAAATATCTAAGGTAAGATTTTACAGATCGTAAGAGGTTAAATAAATTTAAAAGTCATCAATTTTCAACAAAAAGTATTTTGGGAATTGCACATTGTGCAGCCATGTGTAAATATTACTAAGTACATTCAAATCTTATATAATTCATAGCATGGATACAATTACATTCCCCTTAAATTTATTTTTTATATGATATAAAGGTGGGAACAACAGTATATATTGAATAATTTATGCAGGCGAGGGACTACTTTAAACAGATATTCGTATGCTGTGTACACACTATACATACAGGGCAGCATTAAAGTTGTCGTGGGCCCCAGGCACCGTTATCTCTTATTCATTGAATCCTAACAACAAAATATGTAATAGTGTATCCAATATTAGCTGCGTAGGCTAATTCTTATAAATCTTAAAAATTCTCGTGGGCCATTGAAACTGCGCCTAAAGTGATTAATGGATAAATCGGTTCTCACTTAACTCAACAACAAAATATATATACTTGATTTCTAATTCAAATATTTGTTTCGTGGGCCCCATTTTTTTTTCCTAAAAATTCGCGAGGTCTCTAGACACTGTTTATGTGGACAAAGCTAGCTCTGTCATCTCTTACTTTTGCTTGAATCCTATTTCCAAAAAGTACACAATGGATAAGACGACGCTATATACATAATGTCTCATACATACTTTACTATATTGTTATGAAGAGCTTCGGTTGTTTTGTATTTATTTCATTACATTTTTGATCAATTATGTAAATATATAAATTTGTATCGTAGATAATAGTTGGTACACCTGACACATTAATATGTTACGCCTAGTTCGGATGTATATTTTTTTAGTTGTTTTTTTTTAATCAGATATAAAGGTAGAAAAGTATGACATGAATAATTTGGATAACCGAGGGACGAGTATAAAAGGGTATTGATATGCAAGTGTCATGCAGGGAAGCGGTATTATTATTTGATAACAGGAAAGGGACGTCAGGCAATCTATTATTTATATAGATATAGAGAGGAGAAGAAAACACACAAACAAACAATAAAAGTTGGTAGGTGCGGTCAGTGGATGTGTGGAATTAGGTCATATCTTAAACGGTCATGAGATCTGTAAACAAAGTTATAAATGAGTTCTTTTCACCATTTGGGTTGAAGAACTAAGTTTAAATATAATGTAAGTAAAATGTTAATATTTAATGTATAATAATATACTTAACGTCGCAAATTAAATAGAATATTTTTTAATATAATTCATATTTTATAAGTATAAATATCGTGAAGGATCAAAACTTCCAATTTTCTGTTTTACTTTAAACACTGTTCGATTCTTCACAATCGAACAAGTTTGTTCATTAATTATGAAATAAAGTACATTAAAGTAAGTTGCTTCATTAATTAATTACGAAATATTGAAATTTTTAGCAAAAAATAATCATATCAGGTTTCTTTTCATATGAATTCAATTACTCATATAAAAATGTAATTTACAAGTCTACATAGAAAGACATTGTAAATAGATGATAAATTTTTTTTTTTTAAATAAAATATAAATATATATTATAGTATTTTACTAATAGGTTGACCTCATTATTATATAATCATTATTTTACTTATTATCTATTTGTAACATTTTCTAATGCAGGTTAACGAATTATTCGGATTTCGAACTACAAAAACTTTTACGAAAGATTTGTATGTTCATACAACAAAGGTATACTCGGATAACGAATATCAAAGTGACCGATTGATGTTACGCTAGTTGCAAGGACATTTAACTGTAGTGGTCTTATATTACATTGTGTGTGGACTGGGCTAAAATTGCTTGGGGCCCTCCATTAACTCTGTATGGGGCCCTCATCTAACATTGTTTGGGGGGCTATAACTAACACTGTTTGGGGCCCACGGTTAACAATGTTTAGTCCCAGACCATCCCTAAATCCTTAAGAAGTAAATCAATGATCGTTTAACAAAATATTCTGTCTTTAAACGGATTATGTTCTGTAACCGATCACCCATTATATATTAAAAATAAAATACATTTTTTCGCAATAAAGAATTAATCTGCTGTTAAATATAAGCAAAAAAATATTCTAATTATCTTATATAATTAAGTGCAAATTACTGGCATCAATGGTAAATTTTGAATGTAAAAGTAAAATGGATTTTTTTGCAATAGGAATATGAAATTATGTTATGGACAATTTATAGATGGATTGAATGAAATTAATTGCTACTCGTCATTGAGTTATCGATTCATGGCACACACATTTTTTTGTATATGTGGCGTTCGCACATGAAAACGTTTTTTTTTTTGCAAAATCTCTCACGCCAATGATTATGTCGCATCCGGGCCACTGTATGATTTCATTCCAATTTCCGCTTTCATATGCAGGGTGAATTCAAATACAGTGAAATTATTATTAAAAAAGAGAAACTGAATGAAAAAGGGATTTGCAATCATTTCTACATCATAGAATGAAGATGCATGCATTCCATTAAATGGAATGGGAGGAACGTCATCTTATATTAATATTATTCTAAAGCCGCCTGTGCACAATAAATCTATGCGAGCAGGATAATGTACACAATGCCTTCCCTTATACTTGCAGGATGCAGCAGACGTCGGATATATATTAACATCGCAAAGAAACGACTTATTAAAGTTCCGCACAAAGGGATTTACTGGCTCTGATGTTCTTATCCTCGCGATACGAGAATCTTAAATTATGATATATATCTTATAGAGTGAATGTATAATAGTAATTAAGTTAATGCACATATTTGCATATCAATATATGCATTTAATAATTTGAGTAAATGTCAAAAATGTTAAATTGTTAAGTTGTTAAGTTGTTAA